GCCGCCGCGTCGGACCAACCAGCTACTTACGCCGACGTTGTCAAGAAGGGCATTGATGCAAAGTTGGCCAAGCACGTCGGCGATCCCGATGAGACTGCCGACGTCCTAACGGCAACCCCGTCCGTCGGACCTTCGCCGGCCAACCTCTGGAACGTTCTGGTAGACGTGGCCTCGAAACGCAGAAAGCCGTCGACTGACCCGTACCTCGCGAGCTTCCTACCGAACGCTGAAGACTCGTACCAAGCCGCATGGGTGGCCCACCTGAACACGATCAACCAGTCCCCGGAGCCAGTTGAACTCGAGGGAAGAGAGGTCCCTTACGTCCACGCCAACAGTCTCACAGGGCACTCAAATGAGGTCCACTTGTCACCATACGCCGACGAGCACCCTGCACTGAGCGACTCTGGCGTCTGCTTCACGCCCCTGGCAAGCCCGCCTCTAGGCCTCAACGAGCTGATGATGGACTACGACATCGGCCTCCCATACGCCACGCCGCCGTCTCGCGCCCCAAGCGAGGAGGAACCCAGCCGGTTGTCGCAACACCCTTCATCATCACCGGAGCACAGCCTGATACTCGCGGACATCCTACCCATCAACTGCATCCACGACGAGAACCTCTCCTCCTCTTCCTCCTCCGCCGACACCGAGGACGGCGGCGAGCAAACCCTCCAAGCATCAGACGCCCACTTCCGCAGCGAACAATCCCTCTTCACCCTCGGCACTGCCCCCAAACACCCCGCTCCGGCTCCCACTCCCCATGACACCTCCGTAAGTGACATCGACATCGCCACCTTCCTCAAAATGGGCCACGCCAGCCGCTGCCGGTGCACCGCTTGCTCGGATCCCGTACCAGAGCAACGGGGACATCTCTCCAGGACTGGCAGTTACTGCGAGGAAGCGGAGACTCCCGAGCTAGTACCTTTTGACAAGTTGACCGAGATGGACGATGATTGGATGCTCTACTCTCCTCCTACCGGCTGCTGTGACGGGGACGAGCAGCAGCTGGCTGGCACGGTTGCCCCGGTCGGCGGCCAGGTGGGTACTGGTACTGATGCTGGTTCGCAGGCGGGAGAGAGCGAGTTCGTTGCTGTGGTTGTCGGGGAGAAGGCGGTGGTTCGCACGGCGCCTGTGTGGGAGGACTACTTTCCTTCTAGGTCGCGGGTGGCTTGTGAGGGTGAGCGAGCGCAGGTGTTGGGTGATGAGAAGGCGGTCTATTTGGGAGGCTCAGGGGAGGAGGAGGAGTGGGTTTGGGAGAGTGAGTTTTGAGTTGTGCGAGTGTGGACTGTGATCGGTGTTCGAGTTTGAGGTAGGATGGGAAGCGGCGGGGGATGAGCGTGTGAATGCTGCTGCTATTTTGCTGGTAAGTTCCTGGGACGTAGCTCACGGGGTTTATGGTACGAGTGATAACTCTCAGTAACGTCATCCAACACTGGAGGTCTGAATGTGCAAACAGAGCCTTGTACAAAGTAGAAGTGCCGTCCGATGGCCCCATTCGAGCCACGCTACCTCCATGCGACAGGTTTACATACTCATCAAGACTCAAAGCCGCGGTACCGACCCAAACAGCCCTCACGTCAACCCAGATCCCCACAACAACCTACAGTCCAATCTCCCCAGACCCTCTCGTCAAAGCAGACTTACAACCCCGCACCTGATCACAACTCCCCTGACCATCCACAAGCGCGCAATACGGCGTTAAAACCGCGATATACTCCATCGCCGTCTACGTGGACTCCAGATTTCCCCTCCCACCACCAAACACTGTGTGGGTTATTGTTTGGAAGGAGTACGCAGTGGTGTTTACCGCTCATCCGGAGAGAGGCACAAAGGTAACGCCGCCAATCACCTAGGCCTCTGCTTGCGCGGTGGTGGCGAAGAGCAGAAGGAGCCCAAGGGCGAGCCCGGTCTTGTAGCCAGTAACGCGGGCGAGCGTCAAGGCCGCGAGTATCGTGCTGAAGACTGTAGGCCAAGCGAGCGACGCTGCTGCACCGGAGGACGACACCGGAGCAGCGTGCGGGAGCGGACAGTTCTGCAAGCCATATAAGCTCGGGCAGTCCGTGATCCCGTAGAGCGTCGGGCAGGTATCGGGATCCACTGCTCTCACATCAGCGCTCCACATCATGTTGTTCGCGGATGTGGAAGGCTCTGCGGGGGCTTCTGGTGCTATGGCGCTGCCGTCCATCTCCTCGCGGGCGGTGAAAGCTTGCAACGCCGTCACAGTTCCCGATATCTGGACCTGGTCCAGCGGCGTGGCGCGATAGACCGTCACCGTGCTCGTCATAGCAGGCGCCGTGCTCATAGCCTGCGAAGCGAGGAAACGGGAATTCAGCGCTGCACACAGCCAAACCAGAGTCAGCACGTCCTCGCTGATGAGTCCAATGTGCCATGCCAGAAAGGGCAACCAGAAGTGCCACAGGGTTATGAGGACCGTGACGTCCAGGTTGAAGACCGTGTGGGCGGCAGACTCGCCCGGCTGAAACGGTGGTGATGAGGCCGGAGGGTTGAAGCCATCGGGGCAGGCTGAGGGGTAGAGGAGACCGTTGATAGGCGCGTAGCAGGAGAGCTTGTCTTCCGGTACTGTTGGTGACGGAATCATGGTGTTGAGACCAGCGGGACAGGTCGAAGCATAGAATGTTCCGTTGGTAATCACGCCGTAGTAGAGCTTGTGCTCTGGAATTGTGGCATTTGGCGCTACTGTCGTGGCGGGATCCCAGATGATCAAGTCTGTGGAGGGAAGTGCACTGGTTGTCGGCATGGTTGTGGAGGTCACGGTATTGACTGATGTGTGACTGGGGACGTTTTGGCGCTGCGCTTTGGCTACGGTGAGTACAAGCAATAGCGCCACAGCCTCTACCTTGCCCGTGCAAAGCAAGAGTACAGAACCTCCGGAAGCAATGAACCAAAGCGCGTTTTCGATACTCTTGGCCATAGCAAGAGTCGAGGCATCCGCCGAATGCGGTGTCGTTATGTAGATTGGCATACACTGATTCGTGAGGCCCCATGTGCACTCGGGCTGTATGTGCGTCACCGAGGGCAGCGGCTCAGATGACTGGGCAGTGGTCACGATGGTGTTCATTGTCGTTGGAGCTGAGGTGGAGCTCGTTGTGTTGTATACTGGGGCCAGTGGACCGGGGTGAGGGGTGATGGTCAGGAACATATCTGCGGCTGACACCAATCGTGTGGCGAGGAGAAGGGGCCCTGCTCCGGCGAGAATGAAGTGCCGCATGGTGCTGGCACTGACTGAACGAGGGGGGTACCGTGAGTTCCTGTGGCTGTGTAGCGTCGGCAACGATTGCGGTCGGCGGCGGAGAATGCGTCGCGATGTTTCCAGGGCCGAGGAAGATGCTGGTGTGAGAGAAAGCAAACACCCTAAGAAAGGAGCCCGATATATACATGCGCTCGATGGCTAGAACGCAGTCAACAGAGTCAATTCAACACTGGTCACTGAACAGGATCAGCATGACCATATACATACATATAAGTACATACACCGTCCGCGGCGACTCCCACGTCTCTCTTCGCCACACCACAGGCAAATCAACAAGCAGTGAATCACAGCGACGTAGCCTTGACACCTCCCCACCTCCTCCCAGTGACTGGCAGATTCCTCCGCACGAGCTCCTCTTCGATGACCTTCCACCTCCCGATGTCCTTCTCCTTATCGATCGAGCTTCGTCGGGCCGGGAACACATTCACATTCGGTGCGTTGATCTTGAGACGTTGCAATTGCTCCGTTTCGGCGATTTTCTTGGGCCTTTCTAGCCGACGGAGGCGATTGTAGAGGTCGGCGATCGTCGATGAGCTGATGGCGTAGTCCGGGACGCGCATGCCGGTGATCTGGAGGATACGCTTGACAAGCTGGCCTGATATTAGCAGAGTCATCATCAGCGATCAGTCGATTTGCATACCGCCATTTTCACGCTGGGGTCCTTGATTGACACGTTCATCCATGCGGGTGCTGGACCTTCCGATGATATTCCAGCAACGAAGACTGCGCTCTCAGCCTTCGCGGTGAGGGACTGCTGTAGTAGAGTGGACTCTGCCGGCGACGATGAATCGATGGCTGTTAAGACTCTTTCCTCTACTGCCGGAAACGGATACGAGACAGCCACGCCAGTACCAGTCGTGTTAGCTTTGAGCTGGGCTTTCCTGGTCTTTTGCCACGAATTTGCAAAGGGCCTGCGACCCATGCATACGTCGCCAGGAACCCGACCAGCTTTTTGCAGGGTCAGGATCTCCACAATAACGTGGTGGAGCAGCATCTGCCATTGCTTATTGCTGAACTCCCAGCGATACTTCGGTACAAACCTGACACTGCATCAGACAGATTCGATATGAGAGCTTCACGACGGGACTTACCCAGCATATTGCTCCCCTTGGTCCGCCCGCGCCTTGACCCACGCCTCACTTCCGATCCTCTCCAATTGTTTCCCATGCAGCGCCTGCACATAGTCCGTCGTCTCGTTAGGCACTACAACCGCCGCGACCTCATACTGCTGTCCGTTCTTGGCCACCTTCACTTCCAGCTGGTTCGAACTCCCGCGCTGCTTCAGATCTTCCACCTGTTGCAGTTTCTTAGCTCCTCGTGACTTCTCCGCTTGTTCCGACTCTTTCGAGCCGAAGAGCTGTTGTTGCAGGCGCTGAAAGAAGGGGAGTCCCGCTTGGCCACGGATGGAAGTGTGGAACTGGCGGGCTGCCTGGGCGCGGCAAGCTCTGCAAACGTATTGTTGTGGTGGTGATAGCGTTGCCGAGCGCAACGTCTGCTCGGCTGCACGAGAGGCGCGCATGGTGGTTGAGGATGTATCGAACAGGTAGGGACGAGTATGGGACCAATGCGATGTGAAGTCCAATGCGGTCCGTCTCGGGGGTGTTCGCCGCACCGCAGACGCCAAGAGAAGTCACGTGGCCGGCAGACCTTGCAGGATCCCGCACCTTCGGCCTACAGATGACAAAAAGTTTGAAGAATATATTGAAAATCTGTCCGTATCGTCACCTGATTAGGGGGTTTAGCTCAGTGGCAGAGCGTCCGCTTTGCATGGCATACAACGCCAGCGTGCGGAAGGCCGAGGTTTCGATCACCTCATCCTCCACTTTTGCTCGACTCCTTCAGTCAGATGAAGGGCCTCTTCGAAACGTGACAGTTTTCTTCTTTTGGCATTCGTGGTAGATCTCGAGGCATGTCTCGACTGCTGTGCGGCTTCCCGTCGTACATTGCATGGATATACATGTACCCATCCGTCTCGGATTGCAGACATTTGCATACATGTAAGGACCTGGACACTAAATGAAGGTACATATTCCCCATACATAGTTCGTCTACTCCAGCGGCCTGTCTCAACACGAACAAGCAGAGCTTTGTTCAATGAGCAACGCCGCCCTCCACATCCTCGCGTGGATCGTGTTTTACCGACCGTCGATCGCAAGATGATGGTCTGAGGACTAGCCGTACCAATCGTGGCAGTCGATCGGGACCGGGGACGCCCGCGTCGTCGTTGCATACGGCATACGTTGTCGGATGCGAATCAAGCATGACGCCGCTGTAGTCCGTGTGGATGTCTTCTCGTGCTCATAAGGTCGTAGTTCGTGAACAGCGACCACCAAAGGCCACCGAGCTACGCATATACTGCACTCAGCGTCCACACCCTTCACTTCTCCCCCTCCTCCTCCTCCTCCTCCTCCGTCGTCTCCGCCTGGATCTTAGCGTCCTTCCTCGCCGGCCTCTCCCCGAAAATCGTAGTCCCCACCCTCACCTCATCGCTCCCCATCCCAATCGCACTCTCAAAATCCGCACTCATCCCCATACTCAACTCCAGCTCCCTCCTCTCCACCCCCAACTCCTCAGCAACTCTATCCCTCGTCTCCCTCAACACCGTAAAATCATCATTCACCCCCTCCCCCGTACTCGCCTCCCGACTCCTCGCCAAAGCCCCAATAGTCATCAGCCCCCCCAAAACCAAATGCGGACATTTCTCCCTCACATGCCTGCACAACCCCGCCGCCTCCCCAGGCTCTACCCCGCTCTTCTCCGCCTCCCCCGACGTATTAACCTGTACCAACACCCTCAACTTCGCCCCCAATTCCTGCTTCCCTGCCAGTACTGCCCGCCCTTTCTCCAACGCATCAGCCTTCTTAGCCGTATCCACACTACTCACACAGTACAGATTCGCGACCTGCTCGGCGAGGGGTTTGCACTTGTTCGTCTGCAGCGCGCCGATCATATGCCATTGGATTGTCGGCGGGAGGAGAGCGGCTTTCTCCGTGAGTTCCTGGGCGTAGTTTTCGCCGAAGTCGCGGTGGTGGTATGGGAAGTCGTGGAGGGTGAGGATGTCGTTGACGGGTTTGAGTTTGGAGACGGCTATGAGACGGACCTGGGGGGGGAGGGGGGTTTAGTTTGAGGGGAGGTGAGGGGGGTGTTTGGGAGTGTACCTTGCGGCCGTCGGCGACTTTCTCGATGCGTTGCGTGACGCTGTGGAAGTTTCCGGTAAGGATTCTGGCCCGGCGGCCGTTGATTCGCATGTCGTCGTTGGCTTTCTGATCCATAGTTGTTCGGCGGATGCAGATATAGGCTTTCATACGGCATTACCGTTTTGTGTACACAACAGCGTCATCAGCCTTCGGTCCGGCTCGGTTGAATTCATACCGACTGCTATGTAGAGGTAGACGACTTTGCGACCACGATTAATGACTCCGCTCACATAGGCAGACAGAACTAGCGTAACCCAACGGTACATGTAGTATACAGTCGAAGCGTCAAGTACCCGTAAAGTATTCGCACCGTTGCCATGAATCAGCGACTACCATCCTACCACTACCCCAAATCCATACCATCTCACCTCTGCACCCCAATGCTCTTCGTCGCACTCCTCTCCTTCACACTCCCGTCTGTCTCTGGGATAGCGATATGACCTTACATCCAAGCCGTGTCGTTCCTGGCCTTCCTCTCCGGCCACCTGCCATTGGCAGATGCATCGATGAGAAAGAGTCCCCTCGAGCCGCTATGCGCAGCATTCGAGGACGGTGGTCCGCTTAACGGCGAGCAAGCTGGGTTGTGAAGTCACTGCCTCGACGAAGAGGGCAGGGCTCAATTCAACCAGCTTGCTATTGGACTGGTATCTCGGTGAGATCTTGAGACCGCTGTCGTAGCCTTGTGTGATAAACGTCCCGCGGGAGTGAAGCGAAAAGATGATGTGTGTGCCCGTGAGCTTGAGAATCAGCGTCGGGAGTAAAGGGTGATCATACCTAGCTGTGTAGGTAAGTCAGTCGTCAGCTAGTTCTCCACCCACGGTAACCGTTGTTAACGCGTGAAACGAAGTGAGATAGAATGGTGTAGAGCAATCTTTCGCTATTTTCACAGAAGAGAAGGAGTGTGTGCAGGCAGCCAAGCCAACAATTCCACTCAAGCGGATCCCATCGGTCACTAGCCAGCCATCCCTCGCATTGTTGCAGCTGCGAAGTCCACCCGTATGCGCTGTTGATTCGGACCTATGAAAGCGCGCTAAAGTCATCTAGTAGTACAGGGGTATCAATCAAGTCAATCAAGCAAGCAAGCAAGCAATCCAGCCACTGTCGGCGGGACGTTACCACGTTTATCCGCCCGTTGGTGCCGTTCCATAATCCGTGTACCCTCTTCCTCTTGTTAATTCTTCGAGCCACGTCGGGCAGAGACTGAATTGGGAGAGCCGTGGCGAAGGTCAAGCTCCCTGGCCTCCTGCTTCGTCATCTTGATCTTCAACATCTCAACATCCGGGTGCGCAGTCCTCCACTCTTCCGCTCGTTTGCGCGCCGTCTCGTTCCGCTTTGCGGCTTTTCTTTCGTGTTTCGCGGCCTTACGTTCCGCTTCTGTTTTGGGTCCATTTTGTTCAGCTTGTTTTCCGAGTGCCAGTGCCTTCCGTTCCGCTTCCGATTGTTTGCTTGGTCTCTGAGCTTTCGTGCTTTGGCGTTTCGACATCTGGTGATGACTTCTCGCGGTGGCCACTGCGTTCCTGTTCAGTGAGAACGGCCAGTCAGCGATTACTCGACCAGGCGCGCAGCACCACGCGCGCATACTTACGCCTCGAAATCTCGTTAGCGCAGAGCGGGGCCAGCGTACCCGTTCTGACCAGCGTCCCCCTGACCCGCCGTCGTCGGCTTCGGTGGCAGCGCATGCAAAGTACGATTCGCCTCATCCCGCTTCGCCTTCTCGCGGTACTTGGCAGCCGCCTCCTTCTTCTCCCTCCGAGTCTTCTCCGAGGCGGCGCGAAGATCCTTCACAGGCTCAGGCGGTGGTGGAGGAGGCGGGGGCGGAGGCGGACTGTCCGCGTACCCGCGATGAATCACGCTGAGCTTCTCGCGCTGCCGGATGAAGGACGTGTAGTTGCCGCCCCACATGCAGCCCAGGATACTGTCTTCGACTTTCTTTCCGGCGTGGACTTGCGCGACACGGCGCTGGAGGGCGGCGAAGGCCTGGCGGAAAGTATTGAGTACGGCGTCGATTTCGTAGGAGCCGCCGGAGATGTCGTTCAGTGGGTTGTTCGGGTCGATGATGGTGAGGCGGTCGAGGTTCTGTTTGGGAGCGGGATCGAAATGCTTGTTGAAGTAGCCCGGGGGGTTCATGCGGATGCCTGTGGTGTGGAAGTCGAGTCTGTTGCCGTAGAGGTCGAGGAAGTTCATGAGTAGCTCGCCGTAGTGTAGTCTCGGCTCTACGCTGGTGGATTGGAGTTCTGGCATCAGCTGCATCATGCTGACAACAAGACAGATCGTCGTAAAGCCGCCGATACCGCCGGTGAAGACCTCGTTCAGATTACGCATCGCTAGCAGTTGCTTGACAAGGACGACGATGACCGGCATCGCCGGGTACTGCTCCTTCCACCGCTTGAACACTTTGTTGGCCACAATTCCCGAGTCGTTCTCGAAGGAGATGTCGACCTTGATGCCAGTCATGTTGTCCAGGAATTTGATGATAGGCACTTTGGCTCTGGCGATGACGGCACTGGTTTCTGGCAACGCCACGCTAATGTACTCGAAGTGATTTCTGATCCTGTGCATCTGCGTAGCGGACTGCCCGAATCTCGCGGGACGCCCGTTCATGTATTCCGGTGATACAGCGACCAAGTCCATGTCTGCAGTAGGCAGGTACAAACCCGCGGCGAAGGAGCCAAAGCAGTGCAGGGACACACTTTCCGCACCCTTTGCGGAAGACTCGCGGATGGCGCGCTCGATGCGACGGATGAGGTCACGGCGGACAGCTTCCTCATAATCATGCGGGCGGACGAATTCGAAGAAGTCGCAAATCTCTTTGTGCAGCCTGTCTACTGTCAGTGCTCCAATAGCAGTAGTAGAAGCAGGCAGCATCGACCTCAACGCTATGCTCGATGTTAGCGAGGGACTCTTCCTGCACCAAGGCGTTGGATGGGTCTCATTAGCATCCCACTCGTCCACAATGTCGCCCTTGGCCTTCGGCTGACCATGCCCGCGCTTCCGCTTTGTGCTTGGCCCGTCGTTGGCGAACTGCGCTATCAGCTCCGTGTCCGTTGGCATCACATAGTCCGGCGGAGGTGGCGGTGGTATGTCGTCGTAGTCGAGCTCGCCTCCAGGATAACGCTGCGGCCCAGCATTGATCGCTGTAAACGGTCGAGGCTGGGTTTGCGCTGAAGGGATCTTGGCGTGGAGGTTGGTGCGATGGCTGAAGCCGCGCAGATTCCCAGAGGACATGATCGCAGTGGGCTCGGCATTGTCGAGGTCCATGCTGTCGTCGCTGTCGTCTGCATCGTCCTCGTCATCCTCCAAATTGAAGGAGATGAAGTCGATGTTCTCCTGGACTGCGTTCTTACCGTTGTCCATGGAGCGTGCATCGGTCTTCGCTTTTCGGATGGTCTTCACAATGTCTTTCTTTGGGGCACCCAGTGTCTCGTTTTCTGCAAATGGCAAGGCGGTGTATGCATCGGGGTTGGACCACCTAGGCACAGTGCTCTCGCCAGCGGCTTGAAATTTGGCACGCTTGCGCGGGAGCTCAACCTCACCATCATCGGAGTCATGCGTGAGATCGATGACCTCGCCCGACTCGCTGCCATTGCTGACCGAAACGACGTCAAGAAAGCGTGTCTGGCCGTCC